AACCGTGGGGAGAAGATCTCTAATGAGCAGAAGGTAGTTCATCTACTTAATGTTCTAGGAGATAAATATAAAGATATAAGAAATGCTCTAGAGAATGGTAGGAGTGATCTCACTGCTTAAATAATTCATAGTTCTCTCCTGACCAGAGAACTGGGATTGAAATCTGAACACAAAGAAGTGTTCCATGTTGAGGGTATATGAAGAAATCAGAAATCCTATACTAAGGGTGTGAGTAATTTCAGTCATTCCAATTTCAACAAGGATAAAAATTTTATCAAAATAAAATGGAATAATACTAAAGGAAAGGACAAGAAACCGGATAAAGGAAAGGACAATTACAAGAAATGCTTATACTATGGTAGAACTGAGCACTTTATCAAGGATTGCTTTAAAAAGGCCAATGACCAAAAAAATGTGTCTAATACTGGAAATGCTTCTCTTGCTACCAATTCCAACTATAAAGAAGCAGGAGTGAATATTGGGGTTGCCTATGTGTCTTTATGATTGGGTCTTAGATTTAGGTTGTTCCTTCCATATGACACCCAATATTGACTGTCTATCTAACTATTATGACCTTAGTGAAGGATCAGTTAAACTTGGGAATAATGAGGTGTGTAATGTTAAAGGATTTGGCAATGTGTTGATGAAATTCAAAAATGGTCATCACCTACTATTGAAAAACACTAGATATGTTCCAGCCTTAAGAAAAAACCTCATATCCTTAGGAGTTCTTGATGATGAGAGATATCAAATTGAGATTAAGAATGGTTCTACTTATATAATTAGAAATCAAGAACTTATTGTCAGTTCACCTAAATTCAATGGAATTTATGTTATAGGGGCTGAAACAACTTCACCTAATAATTCTGTGAATTTTGTCACAAGTCCCGATAAATCAGAGTTATGGCATAAAAAGCTTGGCCACTTGAGTGAAAAAGGTATAAAAACCTTGTCAAGTCAATGGGCATTTGGAAAGAACAGTGTTCAAAAACTTACTTTCTATGAACACTGAATTATGAGAAAACAGGCCAGACTACCTTTTAAGGCAGGGTTGCATAAATCCCAAGGTATCCTTGAATACATACATTCTGATTTGTGGGGACCTGCCCCTGCACCAACTATATCTGGTTTCAGATACTATCTTCTCATTACTGATGATTTTTCACGAAAAACATGGATCTTCTTATTGAGATCTAAATCTAATACGTTTTCAATTTTCAAAGAATGAAATTTATTAATTGAAAATCAGACTAACAAGAAGATAAAAATTTTAAGAACTGACAATGAGCTTGAATTCTGCAATTCAGATTTTGATCAATATTGCTCTAAACAAGGGATATTGAGACATAAAACGGTCAGCTATACTCCTTAGCAAAATGGAGTTGTTGAGAGATTAAATAGAACCATTCTTACGAGAACTGGATACATGTTAATTAGTTCTGGTCTTTCCAAAATTTTCTGGGGAAAAGCTGTAAAAATAGCTTATTATCTCATAAACAAGTGCCATTCCAGCTCTCTAAACAATAGAATTCCTGAACAAATATGGTCTGGCACATTACTAGATTACTCCTAAGTCCTACCTCAGAACCTTTGGCTGTGCAGCATATGCACATCATACAAATTTTAAATTGGACTTTAGATCATTGAAGGGTGTGTTCTTAGGTTATGGAGAGGAGTTAAAGGTTATAGACTGTGGTTAAGGGATATGAGAGGTTATAAAGTGATTACAAGTAGATCTGTGATCTTTAATGAATGTGATTTTCTTTGTCTTAGTGACAAATCTGATGAAAAGATAGGAAAATATGACTTTGTTATCATTGAGATAAATCTGAATAGAGAGGCTGAAAGTGACCAGATTCAGTTTGAGGTGGAGCCACATGAAATGGAACCTCAAAATACCTCTGATGTTGAAATTATAGAAGATGGACAGCATCTTGAGCATGTAAATGACCTGCAGGACTACCAACTTGCTAAGGATAGAGAAATGAAGGAAATAAGGCTTCCTTCAGATATCAATATGCTAATTTTGTGACTGAACAATCTAAACCTGATCTGTTTGATACAGAACCAGTTTTTTATGAAGAAGCTGTCTCTTGCAAAGAATATCCAAAATGGATTAATGCAATAGAAGATGAAATGAACTCTCTCTATCAAAATCAGACCTGGATCTTAGTGGAAAAACCCAAGGAATGCAAAGTGATTGATTGTAAATGGGTATATATGATCAAAGTGGGAGATGATAAGACAAATAGAAGGTATAAGGCCAGGCTTGTAGCAAAGGGGTTCACACAAAGGGAAGAGATTGACTACACTGAGATTTTTTCACCCGTTGTCAAGTACACCTCTATTAGGGTTTTACTTGCTATTGTGACACAATTGACTTAGAGTTAGAACAATTTGATGTGAAGACTGCCTTCTTATATGGTTCTCTAGATGAAACCATATACATGACTCAACCAAGAGGGTTTGAAGTTAAAGATAAAGGGAACTTTGTGTGTCTTTTAAAAAAATCTTTGTATGGCCTAAAGCAGGCCCCTAGGCAGTGGTATAAAAGATTTGACTCTTTTACACAAGGGTTAGATTTTAAGAAATCTGATTATGATCCCTGTTTTTATGTTAAGAGAGATGGAGAATTTGAATCATTTTATCTGCTCTTGTATGTTGATGATATGCTCCTTGCTGGTTATAATTCTATTACTTTTAACATGATAAAAGAAAAGTTTAAATCTGAATTTAAAATGAAAGATTTAGGACCAGCTAAGAAAATATTGGTTATGGAAATTAAAAGGGATAGAATAAATGGGAAGTTGTTTCTAATACAAATGTCTTATGTTGAAAAAGTAGTTAAAAGATTTTCTCTTCATGATGTTAAGTCTGTTAGCCTGCCTTTGTCTGATAGTATGAAACTATCTGTTGATCAATCACCCAAATCTGAAAAATGAACATAAAAGAATGATGAATGTGCCATATTCTAATGCCGTTGGATTTGTGATGTATGTGATGGTATGCTTTAGACCAGATATTGCTTATGCTGTGAGCGTGCTAAGCAGATTTATGAGTAATCCAGGTGAATTACATTGGCAATGCATGAAAATTTTGATTAAATACCTGAAAGGAACAAGTCATATGGGTTTAATGTTCAAAATTGATAAAAATGGGCTTAAACTTAAAGGTTATGTAGACTCAGACTATGCTGGAAATCCAGATAATAGAAAGTCCACATCTGCATATTTTTATGTTATGAATGATACATGCATAGTTGGAAATCACAATTACAAAAGGTAGTTGCACTGTCTTCAACGGAGGCCGAATACATTGCTGCCACTGAGGCAGTGAAGGAAGATTTATGGCTGGAAGGTTTATTAGGAGAACTAGGATTTGTAGAAAATCAGGTGGAGCTATGTTCTGATAATCAAAGTGTAATATAGATGTTAAATTCCATTTTATTAGAGATGTAATTGACAGGGGTGATATTAAGTTGGTAAAAATACCAACTCAGGTAAACCCTGCAGATGCAGGAACTAAGGTAATACCTATAAATTAATTTTGTAAATTCTTTGAGATTATTGAATCTAGAAAACTAACTTTCTGTTTTTTTTACAGGTAATAAAGAGCAAATGAAGTTTTTGGTCTATGCTTTAAATCTACACGAGTATCATCCCAAAATGCAGCGAAAGGTGGAGATTGTTGAAGTTGTTTGCTGATTTGGAGCCCACTATCAATCCATTTTGTCTGGCCTAAATATTGGCTTTGGCCCAATTAATGTACAGCAAAAAGTCTCCAGAAGCTGAAAAAACTAAAAAAGTGTGAGGACTATTTCTGCAAATAAACGAGACTTTTCAATTAGGTCTTTGGACTTCTCATCTTCATTATTCTCTTTGACGTGTGCTGTAGCAATTGTTCTCTTTACTTCTTGTTCTCTCTCTCTATAAAAATTTGATCTCTTAAATCTTTTGTGATTTCTTGTGAGATATGAGAGTTATTATGAACTCTTGTGTGAGTTCATGCTTCTTGTTGAGTGAGAAGGCTATTATTGTTGAGTTTCTGCAGTTTTTGGGCTGTATACTTGTAACTCTTTTTTTGCCTATTTTGGGGCGTTTCTAGTGGATTTGAGTGTATTCCTTACGGATGTTCAACGGGGATTAGACGTTAGAAGTGATCGTCGAACCTCGGGGCCTTTGGGCTTAAAAATCTTGTGTTGATCTTGTTATTTTTGCTATTTTCGTTTCTGTTTTGTTTACAAATCGAACCACAAATTGTCTTTGGGACCAACATGTTTCTTTGTTCTAATGGAGTTCTTACACTAAGGTTTACATAGCATCAAAGACGAATAAGAATAAGCCTTTGACATAAAGCATTGCAAGTACAAAGAAAGAGTGTATTTAAAGTAAAAGACATCAGCATAAAGAGGAAGAATTACCCCATACAAGCAATATTTACATAGTATTTAGAATAATGCTATTTATCATTATGATGATGGAACACGGTGATGTGACAGCCTATGTAGAGTAATGAGATTTTGAGTTCAATTTTTATGAGAAAGGGGGAGGAGAGAGGGAGAAAGAAATGAGAGGGATAATTGGTTGACATATCACCGATATTCCATTATCATGATGATAAATAACATTACTCTAATATTTAAGGTACAAATGAAACTGAGCCATCAGCATAAACATAAGAACTACTATGAACAAGTCCTGTGACATATCACCGATATTCCATTATCATGATGAGAAATAATATTACTCTAATATTTAAGGAACAAATGAAACTGAGTCATCAGCATAAGCATTAGAACTACTATGAACAAGTCCAGCCGTTCAATGATATTCATGAAATTTATAAATTCAACAATCTGAAAGGAAATGAACAATTACACTTGAGAACTTAATGCTATAGCCTTCATTGACATTTCAGGGAAGATTAATAAAAATGGAACCTACTTTTATTGTAATTGATCAAAGCTAATTTCACTGCTTAAAAAACTTAAACGTTTCTGTTCACTGTAGCAATTGTAGAAAAATCTCACACAGGCGCCTCAACTACAAAAACAAAATTCCATTGAATCAAATTGACAGTATTAAACAAATCATCAACTTGAGAAATACGTCGAACAGAACATATCAAATCGACATAGATCACATAGATTTTAGGCTCATCCTGAATATGATCCTAAATCTGTTGAATATTTGGTTCCACTCAGAAAGCAAAACCAAAAGAAAATAAATGTACCGCCTAAGGCATCAAATTAGCTTCAACAGAGTACAGAAGAGCAAAACATTCAACAGAGATACGTATATTAAGATTTGACAAAGTTTTACGTTGGTTCTCATAGAAGAGCGAACAACATTCATCTATAAGAATTTCTAAGTTCCAAATAGATGGTGCCAGACATAACTCTACTTGGATGAAGCATAAATGAACCATTAGCAATCCCAGAATATTAGCTGCATTAGCAATAGCAGTAAACGACCGCCCAAGGATTTTTATGGATGAATTTAGATGGAGCTGCAGTTCGGAGTTTATAGCAATGCTTTATGAAATCAAGCAACCATAGCAACAAACAAGTAAATAAATTGAATGTAGGCCATACAATTTATAATTAGTTAACAGAATTTAGAACTTTCTCAAATAAAGGCTGGACATCTTGTAAAAGAAAAGTCTGATAGCCAAGCTCCCTCAAAGCATGAAAACATATTCCCTCAATACAACAATTTCAACATAAAACGAGAAAGCAATGCATTGAGTATCATAGATCAAATCACAGTCTTAATGTAACTCAAGGAATAATGAGAAAAAAAACAACATGAACCATCTTCTGAACCAAAAACTTTCACCAGATAGGCAGATACAAAGCAAAGGAGGACCAGAGACAATAAATGTAAATATGATCTTATAATAATAAAGGCCGATGAGAAACGGCATCCTTATATTCCTATATTAATCAGTTATATATATACTGTCCATATAACTTGTTCCCATGAGTTATTGAGCTTATTCAAATCTAACTTGTTCAGAAAAGATTAAACTGGAAAAGGATCTGCTCATCATCATGGCTAATTCAGTATCAAATATGCTCCTACGAAATTAGTATCAACCCTATTTTTTAACCTTTCTAGACTTTCTTGGGCCTGGAACCTCCGTTCTTCCAACAGAGCATCCACACCTTGCTCGAAACACCAGAACAGCCCTTCCGTTAGGCGGTGCCATTTTCTTGAGCTCAGCTTCCAATTCCCTATGGTGATCGCGTGGCAATTCAAAAAGTCCCTTCTTCAGTCCACTCGTTGCAGCGTAGTTGGACTTCTTTACACACTCCTCCGTCTCCAGATGCAAATCAAATTCAGCAGCCTTCCGAAGCCCTTTACAGCCTGGTTTCCCACATCTCCGATCTATACATACCGCGATTGTCACAAGGGCTATTGCAGTGAGTAAGATACTAATTCCTAAACATCCAAACACAATTGGAGCATTAAAAATTTCCTCTCTCACAACATCTACAACTTCTTCTCCAAGTTCAACAGTTTTGCCCGCTAAATGACTTACAGAAGGATTGAGCAAAACCCCAACTGCACCAATCATGGCAATAAAGAATATTACATCAATCATAGCATAACGAGATTGTTCGCAAGCCGGAATATTCAACTGATTCTGGGAATTGGATGACTTTCTATTCTTATAGAACTGATTAATTTGCCTCAATTTCATACAAGGGTCAGCCGAATTCACAGTTTTTTCCATGTGTATATGCTGATCAACTGATATTAGGCAATGGTAAAAGAACATTTGGATTGAAATTTAACCCTAATAAATCTAAAGATTGAATCTTCAAGAAATACCCACAAATCTATAACAAATTCTGAATCAGACCCACAATTCTAAAGTAATTTCCAGATGAAGCCACTTCAAGAATTGTGAAAAAGATTTGTTAAGTCCACCAGAAGATCGGGAATTCTTGATGACCAGTACCTGATTTTTCTTCCTAGACACCGAAACTTTTACACAAATTTTAAGATTATACAATAAGAATGACACTATAAAGCAACAAAGTAGTTAATTGTGAAATTTGAGGGGGTGGACTTTAGGATTTTGGGAGGCTATTCAGAAGGTTTTGGGAAACAGAGACGACAACGAAGCATCGTGAAGTCATAATTTTCACATCTATATCGATTATCCAATATGAATGGCTCAAAAGTTCGGGCCATTTTTCCAAGAAATTGAATTAAGCACTTGCACGACCGTTTTGAAAAAATAAAGTTTTAAATAGTATTTTTTAAGAGAGTGCGTGATTAAAAAGTAATAAAAATTTTAAATTTACGTGCAAAATATTTTGTTGTATGAAACTGTAAATGTGGTTTAAAATGAGCGTTTAAAAAAATTCAAATAATGATTGTCAAATGGGATAAAAAAATTTTTAATTTTTATTAAAAATGGTCTTCCTCTATTATTATTATTATTATTATTATTATTATTATATAACTTAAGTATTCAAACTTCGTCTGACTAATTTTTAGAAGTTGCGACCTTCTAGTTCATCACTCGAGTAAATCGAATGTAATCATAGCTTATACATACTTGAGTCTGACATCTCCGACTCTCCTTTGCGATGTGCAGACAAAACCTCAGAGGGATGACAGAATATACCATAACTTCGTCTCCACAAGACATTTGTCTTTCAACAGAAATAATCTTCCTCTATTTCCATTGAAAAAAACTATTTGTACAGAAATGTTGTACACGAGACTCTCGCGTACAGATGAATGTGGCATAAAATTAGGCACTTGATTAATTTGATTGTTGTGGAAGATGGTATGAGATCTCATCAAGTGTAAATTCTATAAGCAAGAATATAAACGAGGATATACATGTAGCAATGTCCATTTCAATTACTCCATTTGACATTGGGCTTCGTGTTCAACTTGACAAATAGAGTTTAGTAGGGTTGGGCATTGTAGATATTTGAAAGTCAAATTTGAAAAGTAAGATGATGAAAATTAATTAACTTGTAAGACATGGATATTATTCTAGTCGTCATTCTCAATCCTTGTAATTTTTATTTGATCTTTATTTTTTACAGCATTACTTTTGACCTTTTATTATTAGCATCCGTCATCATAGCCCGTGAAAGATGAAAATTTGTTAAATAAAAATTGCATCAAAACCTTAAGCCAAATGTATTGAATTTGGACTTCAAAAACTCGAGAAAAGGGGGCGTAGAGTTGAAATCTAAAGCACAATGATGAAAGAAAGGCATAGGGCACTTTTGACGTTATGTTTGGGGTAGGGTTTTCGCTACTTGTACAGTGTAATTCATCTTGTACAATAGTACAAGTGCTAGATGCAATGTTGGCAGCACTGCATTGACTTCCAACATTGAATTTTTTGGACAGTGTCTATGTGGCATCCTGTCTGTACAAACTGATAAGTGCATTTTTTGCACTTACTTGGATCATATTATTAAGCTTTTATATTGTCAAAGTAACAAAATTTACTTAACTTTGGTTAATTTTCTCCTATTTTAGATTCGGACCCTTTTATAAGCAATTGGAAAAGAAAGATGGATAAATTGATGATTAGATGGAAGGTTTGAGGACTAATGTGCACATGAATAGAAGTTGAAGGATCAAAATAGGCATAGTTTGAAGTGGAGAATTAATTGCAAAAGTAGGCAAAGAACACATCAAGATTCAATTTCAAGAACTTCAAGATTGAATTCAAGACTCTTCGGGTGATGAACAATTTTTATATCTTTTACTTTCTTCTTCACAGCATGTTAGGCTAAACAAATATAGTGCTAGGATTATGATGAATCTTGTATTATGAACCTTTAACTCTTAATTTTTCTTTTGACATTCAAACACGTTTTCAATTAGTTTTCATCGAATTATCTTTTTTTACAATTATGTGCACAATGATTTTATGAATATCGTGGCTTGTTTCACCCTCAAAAAATGGAAAATAAGTTAGATATAGTGTTAATCGTTGTAGAGTTTGATAAGGGATAGAAATATACCACTATATTTTACTTGATCTTTAAGTATTCACAAATCCATTAATACATTTTTGTATGTTCGCATTCGTCATAAAAATATAATCAGATCACATATGAGAATATGTTTATTTCTACTCGAGAGAAATTGTTAAACAAATTAGGAATATTTATCTTCATAATTGAATTGTGTTGTCAAATTGTAAGGTTAAGGTTAAAGGGGATTCAGGATTCTAGTGCATTTTTTATCAATTGATTTTCATACAACCTTACATTAATCACATCTTTACATTGATTCTAGTTAATTTAGGTGTTGCTTTCATAAGTAGATTGCAATTTAGTTGTAGAAAAAATCACAGATTTTCATTGTTTCGATCAAGGCTTAGTTTAATTGAATTTAAACCAATACAATCTATGTGGGTATGACACTTGGACTTTAAAATCTATTTTATCACTTATTAACGAACCGTGAACTTACGGTGATTTTAAGCGAAAGAATATTTTCGTGACAAGTTTTTAGCGTCGCTATCGGGGATTGTATTTGAATTGAATTTCATTTATCTCGACACCAATTTGAACTTGTGTTATTTTCTTATATTTTTCTTTTTTAATTTATTTTAGTGCTTTTATTTTCTCTCTTTCAAGCATTTTATGTGAAATTCGGGAGACAATGAACTGATACTAATTGATCCAAAAATCGAATGTACTTTTCACATTAGGCAAAGAGAAGTACAACATACAGAGATGGCTAATGCACAGAATAATCCGGTTGTTCAAGTGAATGAAAAGGCAGTGATCGATGAAGGAAACATATTAGTTGGGGAGTTCATGACTCCACAAATTATTCAAAGTCAATTTAGCATTGTTTATCCTCCATTTGGACAACTCAACTTTCAATTGAAGACCAATGTCATCCGTATGTTCCAAAATGAACATCAATTTTATAGCAGGGGTAATGAAAATCCACATACACATGTCCATCGATTTTTGAGATATGTCAACACTTTAAATATCAAGGCATTTCAGATGATGCTATCAAATTGAGATTGTTCCCACACACTCTACGTTATAGAGCCCTTGAGTGGTTGTACTCACACCCTGACTTGAAATGACTTAACTTAAAAATTCTGCACCAATGTTTTTTCACTTCGTCAAGGAAAAACCGAATTTGATGTGAACCCACGTAGCGACAGTGACTACGGAACCCACAGGAGATTGAATCCGACCTAAGGAAGCCCAAGACAAATAAGGTTTGTGGATTTTGATCCAAAAAACAATGAACCAAACAACCAACACAATCACAAACATACATGACAACATTTTTGGCTACACAATTTAAGAATTCAAACCAGGAATTTAAAGTTTGATCCAATAAATAATTGAATCTCACTTAGATTGTTGAACGCCACAAAGATTATTCATCTTTGATAAGTTCGATAAACTTGTCCATGAAGAACAAAGAAAAAAGCAAAACGCCTCTCAATTTAATTTCATAATGTCTTTCTTAGTTTACAGTTAAAGAAATAACGCATATTTATACTAAAACCCTAAGACCTAGTTTAACATGGAAATAACTCTAAAGATTACAATGATATAATTAAATCATAATTAAATGAAATTAAATTGAAAAGATTACAAAAGATATGTTATAGATAGAATCCTAACTAAATAAAGAAACTAGTGAAATTTCAAAATTTTTGCCTCGGATAATTTCTAAGCGGTTTCTCCTTCCAACACACTTCAATTCTTAAATAATTGGCACCCCCTTGGATCACATTAGACACTCTCTCTTCAAGAAGATTCACTCTCGAATCTTGACATTGGAATTGAATCTGTTTTTTCATTTGGAACATTCTTCAACTCTCTCAATTTTTTTTTACTCAATGCTTTCACCCAAGTACTTCAAAGAATAAATTCGAACTAAATAAGGAGATATTCTCGTAGAATTCAAACCAAGTGAGATTTTGTAATTTGGAAGACTCAAGAAGAAAGGAATTGAATTAGACAATCGAATGTAATTTTTGAATTCAAGAAAGTGGTTCTTGAATTTGAATCGGACCCAACAAAAATAGAATTTGACTCAAGATTGGATTGTAGAATGCCAGTAATTTTTTGAGATAATTTATTTTTATTTTTTATTTTCGGACCCTTTTTTTTTTTAAAAAAAAAAAAGATTTCAGAAATTTTTTTTCGAACTTTTTTTGATCCGAAATTCAACTACGATAACGGCAAATGAAACGGAAGTTGTTTTAGACGCAAATTGAGGAGAAAAACAACTTTTTAAATTTTTTTGACAGAAAATTACGGATCAAAAGACTCTAAAACGAAGAACATGAAGAACACGAAAAAACAAAAAGCAAAAGACTTAAACAAAAATGAAAAGGATATAGCCTTGATTTGTTGGAGCCCAAGCTCTGATACATGATGCAAACCCATGTAGCAATTGTAGCTACGGAACCCACGACAAATTAGAACAACCTAAGAAAGCCAAGAATCAATGTTTGAAAAGCTCGTCCCAATAAATTATTGAACCAAGAACCAAGACAATCGCTAACAATATCTTGACCCGTGATCACAAAACTTATGAACCTTA